TTTTGAAAAAATATATTTTATATAAAATATTAATAATTACATTTTCATAAACTCAAACTTCTATAACTTTTTTCTCATTCACTTTCTTAATTTATTTAACTTCTACAAAAATCTGCCAAATGTCTTCTTTAAAACAAGACCAATCTTACATCTATATTCCAAAGTTGTCACGGTATGCGGATATGAACCCAAACAGTAATAAATAAAACACGGATTTATTAAACAGACAGAAAACAAAGACCCACGAGGGAGCAAACGAACATTGACAAGACTAGACTAATAAACTTGACAAAAACAAGAGACTAGAACTAACAGGCAGGATACAAACTCTGATCACGGGAATATACAGCTCACAGAACAGGACGACAGGATACAACGAACAAGCACCGAGTAACAAACACAAGGATCTTAAATGAGGAACATAATCACAAGGGCACAGGTGACACAGATAAATAATCAAGACTAACAAGGAAACAAGGGGGTGTGGTAAAAGACACAAAACAATGCAAACACATAACAGGCCATGTGCTTGCACACACAACATAAACAATCCTGACATAACCCCCCTCTTACGGAGCGGCTACCAGACACTCCACATGAGACCTAATAGACTGTAACTCAGACACAAACCAACAAAACATAACCACTAACAATAATGGCAAACAAGAGTACATAATAAAAGGATTGGGGTGACTCAATAAAAATAACACACAAGGGAGGGGGGGGTGGGGGAACAAAAGAGTTCATCGGAAGGGGTCCAGAGTGGATTGGTGAAGCAACAGTCCTAAACTCACTGGACATGGGCGAGGGTTGAGGGCAAGGAAACCGAACAGGTCTGGGTGGAGACACATAAGGTACAATCTTGGGGAGGACAGATCGGGGTAACACAGTAGCAGGGGTGACCGGGGGAACAACAGAGAACAACGCAGGTGGCGCTGCAGCTGGCCGCGGAGACGTAACAGGAACCAAGACTGGGGACGCCGCAGCCAGCAACGGAACTGAGACAGGGGGTGCAGCAGGCGACTGTGGAACAGAGGGTTCAAAAGGCGCTGCGGCTGGCCTTGAAGCTGGAACAGGACTGGACTCCTTAGCTGGGACAGGGCTAGACTCGGTCACTTTCCCATCAACCTCAGCGTGGACAGGAATGGACTCCTTAGCTGGAATAGGACTGGACTCGGTCATTCCCCCATCTACCTCAGCGTGGACAGAACTGGACGCAGCGGGCTTGTTAGTCGATGTGGGTCCCAGAAGAAACTGAGACGGAGGACATGAAACTTTCCTCCTCTTCCTCCTCCTTGGCCGCGGAGCAGAAACCATAGCCGGATTTGTAGTCGGTACCAGGGTCGTTACTGCAAGTGGAGGGACCACCACAGGCAATGCGGACTCAGTGGACGAGGCTTCCGATGCAGACTCCCACGACACCCGTCTTCCTCGCTTTCCACGAAGGCTTCCAGCTACGGCAGGTGCTTTGGGAGTCGAGGTGAAGAGAGCCTGGTCCCCAAGCGTTGCAACAGCTAGGACGCGACCCTCCGGAATCACTGGCAATGAAGCTGTCACTGTCTTCGTAAGACCCTGCCGCTCTCCCCGACACACATGGTTCACCACTTCACTGAACGGGCACCGAATCAGCCCTTCCCGTTCACACATAGGAGGAGGTGCATTGAGACCCGCGATGAAAAAGGAGTTCAGGAGAATCTCTGGCATGAATCTCCTCTTCCCATCAACACCTTGGACATATCTCTCCAGGGACTCCTCTCCCTGGGGAGGAAACGGAGTCCTACCCCCCTTCATATCAGTGGTTAACGTCCGCCACCACTCTTCGTGGTCCTTTGACTGGCCTCTTGCAGGAAAAGACATATTGTCTGCTGGGTTCAAAATTAGGCTTGTTCGTTCTGTCACGGTATGCGGATATGAACCCAAACGCAGACAGTAATAAATAAAACACGGATTTATTAAACAGACAGAAAACAAAGACCCACGAGGGAGCAAACGAACATTGACAAGACTAGACTAATAAACTTGACAAAAACAAGAGACTAGAACTAACAGGCAGGATACAAACTCTGATCACGGGAATATACAGCTCACAGAACAGGACGACAGGATACAACGAACAAGCACCGAGTAACAAACACAAGGATCTTAAATGAGGAACATAATCACAAGGGCACAGGTGACACAGATAAATAATCAAGACTAACAAGGAAACAAGGGGGTGTGGTAAAAGACACAAAACAATGCAAACACATAACAGGCCATGTGCTTGCACACACAACATAAACAATCCTGACAAAAGTATTCTTTAATTACAACCATTTCGGATTGAGCATTTTCATGTTTATTCAAAAAAGGGGGCGCGACACTTAAGAGGTTAAAAGTTTGGGGTCAGTACGCTTTTTTTTAAGAAATTAATACTTTTCTTCAGCACGGATGCATTAGTTGACCAAAAGTGACGAATAGAAAGTTCAAAGATTTATTTGAATTTTCATTTATCAAAGAATCCTGAAAAAAACTTATAAAAATATTAAGCAGCACAACTGTTTTCAGCTGTGATAATAAGAAATGTTTCTTGAGCAGAAAATCAGCCTATTAGAATGATTTCTGAAGGATTATATGACACTGAATAGTGAAGACTAGAGCGATGGCTGCTGAAAATTCAGATTTGCCATAACAGGAATAAATTACATTTTAAAATATTCTAAACTAGAAAACAGTTATTCTAAATTGTAATAATATTTCACAATATTACTGTTTTTACTGTATTTTTGATCAAATAAATGCATTCTTGCTGAGCCATGAGACTTCTTTCAACAACATTAAACCCTCTTACTGACCCCAAACTTTTGAGTGATTGTGTAACCTCAACATGCATAAGAGTGCATTCAAAAACCATTCAAAATTCAAAATCATTTGAAATGCAAAACATTCTAGTGAGATCTTATGATGAATTTAACACCCTTAACACACCCTTAAAAAACTGAAATAACCCTTCCTTCTGACCGTGAGGAGTGCGGAGCTCGGACTATCATTGATACTCTGCTAGGCTGAGTCATCAAAACAAGAAGACTGAATTTCATTCTGGACTACATTCAGTAAGAAATATTCACTTTCTTTCAGCTTTAATGTATGAGTTTCCAGAATAGGAGACATATTTGAATATTAAAACTATAGGAGGTTGAGACATGGGACAAAAGGCAGGATTTAGTAGAAAGCCACGTGTAAAAGAGGTAACTGGGAAAGTAGTGCAATCAGAAATGGGGAGGGTCTAACAATGGTAATAGTGAATTGTCAAGTGATGTGGGGAAGGTCTTGTAAACACATAAAAATAGGGGAGTTTGTGGTGAGGATCACCCAGTGAATCTCAATCGTAATGATACTCTCAAGAATCACTTCAGAAGATTGTCTCTGTCTATGAAAAAAAAACAAAAAAAAGATTAGCCACTTTTAGGCCAATTACTCCACAATCAAGTCTTATTTCAGGTCCATTTTCAGACCAGGAACCAGGGTGAATTTTAAAGTATGGTGCTCTACAATTTCCTGCTGATATCTCTGATGCCTCAACACAGGGTCAACAGAAAATTATTTATCTATCATGCAATGGTATTTCCTCACATGAACATACCATAAACTGTAAAAGGGCAGGGCTGTTTTTGCATGACCCTGAAGTTCTCTGTGACGCCAGAGTGTTTTTCTAACCTTGTAACCAAACACACTTTCACACAGTCCATCTCTAGTGGCTTATTTGGTTCAATAATAAAGAATGTGTGTATCCACTTATTCACTCTGACACAGTGCCTGAGGGTCTGTTAATACACACACCACTGCATTGTCTATGTGTGTGTGGGTGTCAAGGGGGAAAGCGACCTTCCACAGGAGACATTTCAGACGTGCTTAATCCCTGAAGTTGCTTTTTTTCCAAAAACATTACTGGGGGATTAATAATTATCCCAAAATGATGACTGATAGAAATCATGACTACAAAGTTTCATGCCATTAAAGTCCAGAATAATAAGAAAGTATAGCCCACAAATGGCTCTGACAATACACTAAACCAATTTTTTCTGAATGCAATAAAGCAAACCATATTCAGCTTTCTTATTCACAAATCCCACCAGGCTGAGATGCAGGCCTTTAGTACTTTAGGGAAATTACCAGCAAAACAAGAGCCAGCACAGGTGGGATAGGTTGTCCCAGAGGAGTAAAACACATAAACAACCCTATACCCAGAGGAAATGTTTATTACTCAGAGGTTCCTCTTTTAGAAATCAGGAGACTTAGATAACGGAGATCTCTGTAATGTTTCATTAAAGTATCAACTTCGCCTCAGAAGTTTCCTAATTATACAATTAATGAGGATTCATACATGGCTCAGATAATTTGATGAGAAATCTTTGAGTTCAAATCAAAATCTCTGGCTTTTAATTGCAATGTTTGGTATCTTGCCAGTTTTGAGCACAGTGTGAGACATTGCTGAGATCTCTTCTGAAACTCTTGGGGTGACGCATGTTTGATTGCTGGGGTCATTTTCTCTTCAGAAAATCTGAAAAGCAGGAGATTTAAGCATTTTTCTCCATTTAATCTCATTGCTACCTCATCGTTAACTTTTCTTTCCTGTGGGTGTAATTAAAACTGATCTTCAGATAAAATATAATATGTAGCCTAATATTTTATATTATATTTCTTAGTATTATTAGAATGAAATAAATGATTAGCTTTGCTGCAAATTCAAAGTTGCAAACATTCAAAGACGTCATTAAAATAATCTGTTTTGTATACCTAACAACGTCGTGCAATCTTATCTCAAGATATCTTATAAACAGACAGATATGTAATGAACAGTAAGTTATCACAATTATTACAGTCTATAATGTTAATTAATCACCAGTCGGACGGCTTTGCAGTGACCATTTCATATTTGCATCGATGAACTTGGCGTCTCGAATGACGCTGACAACAGCAAAGATCCACTTGGAAAAAGCAGCTAATGCCAAAATGATTACCTCTGCTTGTCGGCGGCTGCAACGCTTGGATTGCCGTCTGTCCGAGTCGTGCAGAACACTTTACCCCAACAGCAGCAGCTCGACTGCGGGCTCGATTTTCTTCCCGCGCCGCCGGTGCAGAAGTGAATTCAGCGCGAGGACCGCGGCCAGGGCTCCGAGAGCAAAAAAAAAAAAAAAAAAAACTGCCGGTTTCGCTTGCACGCAGACACGGTGCCAAACTGATCCGCACCCCGGGGATCTAATTAAATGGCTAGGCACGGGGGCGTATGGTGAAACGTTTATATATTTCGCCTAGGTATGCAAAACGATGTAGAGTAAAACACCCACACAGGATATCCGACTGTATCCCAAAATCTATTGCATAAATAGGCTACTACTGCATGTGTGTGTGGATGGAGTTGGAAATCTCTCTTCGGAACAAACCCACTTGAACCCACATGAAGCTTGTTTGTGAAATTCCGTGGAGGATTGTGAGCTATTAAACATGGTTTCCGATCCGGTTGTTTTCGCTAATAAAGCAGTGTTCACGTTTATGAACTTTAGATTTTTTTAACAGTTGTTTTAATATTGTCAACTGACTCATAATGAAGAAAATACACCAGAATCGGTGTAATTTTATTAAAATGTGTTGCATCGACAACTGTCCTAAAAGCCCACTGCACAAACTCGCTATAAATACATGATCAGTTTCGTTGTTGTTGTTTTTTTTTAAATAGGCCTACATAAATAGTCTAGAACATAGCTCTTTTTAAATAAGTTAACTGCAAATTGTATTTAAAATTACAGTAAGCTCAATTTACCAACAGTCGTCTCTTACAACCCCTTCATGCCCGCATTCAGCTGAACAGCTAATGTAAAATCATTAATATAGGCCTGTGTTTAAGAACTCAAATGATTTGGTGTTGAGATATGTTTATTATTATTATTATTCTTGCACAGAATAAAAAAAAATATTGTTGTTTCATGCATTAAGTTTATTTATCAGTTTGTTTAGAAAATGTATGTCACTGTTCTTTGTGGTCATTTAGCCTACTCAAAGCTATTTAAAATCAGAAGGGGGGGGGGAGAAAAAATCATATTGGATTTGGGTGTTGAATATGTATCGCAACCTGTTCGGGAAGCCACTCAAGGTCATAGGACGAAAACTGATGTTGGTTTCGCACTGCAGAAATACACCTAAGCATGGCAGTCATAGTGTTACGTGGTAAAAATTAGGAAAATACGGCACATTTATGAGCATAGCTACTCACAGACCCTATATTATTACGGAAATCCGTTTAAATATCTAAAGCATGGCGCGAATATAGTTATTGCCTATCTATAGAGCGAATTTTGTCCACATTAGTTTTTAAAATAAACAATAGCCTAATAACACGTTGACGTGTCAGCGCGTGAAGTTTTGACTTTCACCTGCACACTTGACTGACTTATTGGTTTAATACATTAAATTCCTTCTAACGGCAAACATATTTATAGAAACGCGAAAATGTCGATGAGTATAGATTATTTAGGAATATAGGCCTACTGTTTAAAAAATTACATTGTAAATTGTGATTGCTTTTAACATTAAAAAAAATCTAAACATTTAAGAGCATTTGTTTCTCGTTCAATTCAAATAATTAAATTCAAAGTCCAAATTGCAAATTTGACAGTGTGTAGCCAAACCCATTATATATGAGCCTCAGAAGTTGCAGAAACTGGGTGTTTGAGAATAAAAGGGATGCTGATGTTTAGACTTCACAGACCAGTCTCAGCTCACCAGAAGGATTTGTAGCACTTTAAAGTAACTTTCATTCTCTTTTGTATAATATTCAACAAATCATTAGCAATTATTTCTTCAAAATGTTTATGAAAATGTCATGGAAAATTAAGAAGAAAAAAATATCCAAAGTGCCCCATACCTTCAGACAAATAAAGCTCAATCTAGTAAACTCTTCTAGTCTATAAAACCATGTATTTATCAAAGAATGATGCAGATTCAGAGAACATCTCAAAGCTGTGTTCAATCATGTGTAATCAAAAAGAAAATCATTTAAAAAGTTATTTTATTTGAAATTATTTAAATACAAATAATATATATTTTCCATTTACAATGACAGTTTTCTTGTAAACAAAAGTGGCAGATACTGTTTACTAGGCAATTCACCCCTTTTTCTGGCCGGTGAGTTTCTCTGTGTATGCGGAGAAATTTCTCATAATCTGTGTGCTTCAGTCACAGCATGAATTCTGAAGCTACAATCTTTTTTGGAGCTATAATACTAAAATGTCTATTTATCTGTAAAACCTTTATTATTTTATAAAATTGGTTGTGAATGTGTGAGTTACATGCAGCCAGAACATGACACTTTCTTTATGTCAATAAAGATTACATTGTGTTTATGCTAATGAACGCGAGGGGAAATAAGTCAAATAATTTTCTACGGATGTTGGCAATTTTCCAAATGTAACTATAAAATACATACATTAGTTATTGGGAACAAACAAGAAAATCCAATTTCCTGTCATAAATTCATGATAACATTTTTTTAACAATAAATGGAGATTATCATTCATACGCATTTCTACATTTCAAATAATTTCATATCAGTCACCTCTCCCACTGATTGATAAATAAAAAGACCAGACTAGTATTTTCACAACCACTAAATCAGCACTTCCAATACGCTGTCAGACCTTCCACTGGTGCAAAATAACATTTAAATGGAACGAAAATAATCATATCCAAAAAAATCTACTCTTAATTTTAAGCCCTGTTGCCATCCCTCCACACTTTACAGAAATAAACACTGACCCTCGATTATTCCCATCACTTATATTGGTGTTTTTGCATCACAAACCATTTCCAATATTTGTGGCCACTACAAATTGTATACATTGAATAAGGCATTCATATTTGATGAGAGTGGAATGTAAAACAATATATATATAAAAAAATTAAAACAAAATCAAGCTAAACTATCAATAACTGAGGAATACAGATCTATGGGAAGCCAAAAGTCCTATATGTCATTTGATCATTTATTTTGGTTTTAATTCCACCCACCTGTCTTTCAAAGCCCTATGGCCAACAGATTGATGGGAAAAGACCTGTACTTGTGTACATTCACGCTAGAAACACGGACTCTTTGTAACAACTGCAGTCAGTAACAGTGGGGAATTTTCTGTTTCCAGTTCAAAAAGTCAGTGGGATAAATATATAAGGGGAAAAAAATTCACATTTCAATATTCAAAAACTTGAATTGTCCTAGAGGAAGTTTAAAAAAAAAATGAGGCCATGTTAGTACACAGTGGCAAGAAATCAGTCTGATATCTACCCGCTTATTTGTGAAACAGCGGAACAATAGTTATAGGTAAAGCAACATTAAAGGTTAAATCAGGACTAAACAGTAGACCTGGCTGTGGAATGTCTGCAGTCATTTTTGTGAGGCTGAGACAACCTGTGCTCGTGATGAGAAGCTGGAAGTAGTTAAGATAGGTGAGATTTATAAATGTATTGAATTTCCACACTTCAGGACAATGGAGACAATTTGAGGTGCAACCCACAGCGGTGCGGCTCCTTCGCCCATAACTCTCGCTCAAGCAGCTCCGAGCGTAACAAGTCCTTGTGCTCACTCCAGATTACACTTCACACAGCCTCGTAAAAGTGGAAACACCTGGTAAATTTGATATCTAATAAACTACAAAATGATAAGGTAGAAAACACCCTTGAAGCATAAACGGACATGACATTGAAAAATGACAGTCATGAGGTGTGTGATTTTTCAGCGGTACTCTGGTTTTTATTTTTTCCGACGCATTGGTTGGTCAGACATGTTTTTCGTCAAGTGGAGAGGAATATGAAACACAGCTGGACCCCACACATAACCACTGAGACATCCCACCGATAACGACTGGATGAACGCAGGGAAAGATAACCAACAGTTCCTTAAGTCTTGTTTTGATTGGCAAAATAAACGGTTCAGACAGATTTGCGATTCATGAGGGTTTTAAACAGGAAGAGGGGGCGTCAACGTCCTTGTCTCCTGTTTGCCTCCGGTGTGTGGCGGCCCAGAAGATGGCAACGGTCTGGGGCTATGTGGGTGTGTGGGAGCGTGTGTGTGTGTGTGTGTGTGTGTGTGTGTGTGTGTGTGTGTGTGTGTGTGTGTGTGTGTGTGTGTGCGTGCACGCATGAGTGGGCACATGGGTGTATGAGCTGTGCTCAAGTTTGCATGAAATGACTGGTTTAGTCGTTGTCTTCTTCGTCTTCCTCAGACTCCTCAATGCCATCACTGTCCTCTGGGTCATCCTCTTCTTCCTCAGTTTCTGGGATATCCCACTGTGGGTGGTTATCCAACATGGCCTTCGCCTCGTGAACCTCCAGCTAAAACGAAATAAAATTATGACCACAAAGTTTCTAGTAAATAAATTAACATTGATTAACTGGAGTAATGGCTGCTGAAAATCCAGCTTTGCCATCACACAATTACATTAAAAATATATTAAAATAGAAAACAATTGTAATATGTTTGGCAATATTACTGTTTTACTGTATTTTTTTATCAAATGAATGCAGCTTTGGAGAGGATAAGTGACTTATTAAAAAAAAAAATAATAATAACCTTAAAAATGAAACTTAAAGTACAAAATTTAAATCAACCCCAGCGTTGATTTAAATTTAAATAAACCCCAGCGTTGATTTAAAGTTGATTGTGTATATTTTTGCATAAAATATTTAAACAAATATTTAATAAAAAATAATTTAACAAATAAGAAAGAGCATTTGCAAAGAGAGAATGAAAAAAAAAAAACTGACCTTGAGTGGCTTGACCTGATCTAATCCCATGAATGAATCTGATCTGAGAATCACAGAATATTGATAGTTTCCGGTTTTGGATGGAGCGGGGAATTTCAGTTCAACCTGAGGCAAACAGGAAGTTTACATAATCATTGGTCACTTTACACAACTCAGCACAATCTAATACGGAGGAGTAATTGGGAAATATGGGCAGATTTATGACCCTTTTGTTTACATCCTTGCATTCTCATGCTCCTCACAGAGAGGAAGCACTCAGTATATGTCAGACAGAATTATGACAGGCATCTGGCTGTCCTGTAACCAGACAGAGACTGCAGTGTGGAGGTTGCCTGGCAACAGGCTATGGGGAAAACTGCAGCGCAGGAGACTCTGAAGCTAGCACCATTCAGCCAGTCACACACACACAGCAAAACACTCACTCATTCTATTATTCTTCCATTTTACTATATTATAATAACAGCACACCATATTGTAATTAATTTTAGTGATTTGTTTTTGTTATTATTCCAGTTCTAAATGAAAAAAAGAAGAAAGAAAACCTGGATATACTAAAATTCCAAGACCATCAAAACAATGAGCAACACAATGTCATCCTTTCTTTTACCTCTTTCAACTTTTCTCAACAAAAAGGTATGATAGAGCACAGAAAGATGGTTGTGGCCTCACCTCCTCAGTGTCTTTGAGTGTGCACACATGATTGGGCATAGACACCAGTGTCTGCTCCTTCCTATCTGCGATGTAGAGCCACCACCACTCCTGTTTCTCCTCAGGAAAGTACAGGCTGTAGACAGGGTGTGTGACCTTAGACTTGGTCTCCAATAGCGCCCTTTCACGACGCTGAATGCTCTGTTGTAGGGCCTCCCATTCCTATAGAAAAAGACGTGCTGGTTATGGAATAATCTGCACTGCAATAACTACCATCAGCAGTCACTCATCCAAGAGATTTGACACACACCTCCTCATCATCTCCGGCAATCTCGTCCATCTCAGTGTCACTCTGCTTGTCACTCTCCTCATCTCTCTCGCTGGGTGAGTCCTTATTTCCCTCTGCTTCGTCGGATTCACTGCCTTTATCAGAGAGATCGTCCTCTTCCTCTTTTGATGCAGCAACTTCCTGTGAACAAAAACATATGCAATGGAGTGAAAGATTTGTTGTTGCTGTCAATAATATCAGAAAATGTGCATCAAAATAAAACTGACTAAAATGAATATGACATATATTACACTACCAATTTTGGGGATGGCAACATCATTATTTTTTTTAAAGAAGTCTCTTATGCTCACCAAGGCTGCATTTGTTTGATTTAAGAAAAGCAGTTTTCTATTTTAATATGTTTTCAAATTTAATTTATTTCTGTAATGACAAAGCAGACATTACTCTAGTTTTCAATGTCACATGGTACTTCAGAAATCATTCTAATATGCTGATTTGGCGCTCAAGAAGCATTTATTATTATCAATGTTAAAATCAGTTTTTCAGAATTCTTTGATGAATGGAAAGTTAAAAAAAACAGCATTTGTTCAAAATAGAAATATTTTGTACCACTATAAAGGTTTTACTGTCACTTTCATGCATCAATTTAATCTATCCTTGATTAATAAAAGTATTAACGAAAACGTACTGACCTCAATCTTTTTACGGTAAAATTGAAGGTCATTTTTATCAAAAGAAAAAAAAATGTACCACTGAATATATACAAAGTTCTAGGTTCCTTACATTTCCTGCCACATTGCCATTGGCCTGTTTGGCCTTGTCTCCTTTTGCTTGCTGTTGGGTGACTGGTTTCTTCTTAGTCAGTTTCTTCTTTTTGGACTTGGCAGCTTTTTTAGCTCCTTTATTCTTATTTTGCCAAACTTTTGTTTTGTTTTTGGCATCACCTTGCTGCAAATGACAAATTAATCATTTTAAAACGTTCAAACATGATAATGAGCAAATAGCAAGATGCAAATTGCATTTTTAAATCATTATAATTTTGTGTTTGATTAATGTGTAACTTAAAAGCATGACTACCTCCTCTGTATTAGCTTCCTCTGTAGGTAGAGGTGCATTCTCCTCTTTCTCGAACATCTCCTAAACACAAATACAAATTTAGCGTACAAATTTACAATGTTGTTGTGCGTAAAGAATTCAATATAGATATCAATAACGCCTGTTTTTGGTCAAATATGATTGTCTTGCTGAAATGAATTCTTAACCAAAAAAAACTAAAACAAAAAACAAGCTCAGCATTGACTTCTTGTGGATGCCTGCTGCAACTGCAATGTGTGTACCAATGGCCATTCCATGACCATAATCAATGCCCATAATATATACATAAACAAATCAACCACTATAGTTGAGTAATACTACCCCTTTTCAAGTAAACATCTGGATGAGGAATGGTGGCCCATGAGATATTCTTGTAAATATACTACTTACAGACATTCTCTTCCTTGTCAAGGTAACCGTAACTGTGACAATGGATCCTGCTGTGATGTTATTGCTATCTTCATCGTCCAATACTGTAGAGTGATGAAACATACACAAAGTTAAAGCCTTTAAATCACACATATTGTTTTTATTGAATGTAAGAGTGTACAAACGCTGACTAACAAACACACCTTGAAGTTTAGTTTCCATGTTGATATAGGGGAAGCTCCCGAGGACTGCCATGACCTCATCATACTTCTCATCCCCAAGGAATCTCAGCATGTTTCTCCTGTCAGAGTCTCTCAGACTGACCAGATCCTGCAACGTCCGCACCTTATACTGAGAATAAGAGAGGGGAACGATATTTGGAAACCATAGTTTTTTGCATAGTAACAATAGTTTAAGTGGGGGTATGTAACTATGGTTTGTATTAAACTTGTTATGAAGAAAAACAGCCAAAACATTTAGAAAGTGCAACTATAACTGATGTAGCAGATTCCCTCATAGCCATAACTATTAGTATGCATGGATTAAAAAAAATAAAATGCCACAGTTTTTATAGTTATACTATAAACAACAACAAAATTGCCCTAATAGATTCTTTTATGTGCTGCAACGCCTTTGAGAAAGATGTACCTTTTTAGAGATACAGTATCGGAGGTGCTCCTCTTCAAAATGGGGCAGCTGCAGGAGAGGAGACTTGGCCTCCTGCAGTCCTTGAACCACCATCTGAGACAGTTTCATGCAGTTCTCTATGGACGTCAGCCTGGGGGCCCGAAGGCCTATAAAATCAAACACAAGCAAAAAAAAAAAAAAAAAAACATGTTTTAATCATGTATCAGGGCTCGCAAAATCGCTAGCCCGACGTCCCAGAGCTAGTGTGTTTTCCAGTCGTGCTACCAAAATAACCGGCCTCCCCGACGGGCTATCTGAAATAGTGTAATCAAATTTCTCCCTTTATTCAGATTATTGACTAGTTATTTTAGGGAAAAATATGACCACGCAAGTTTTTGATCATGCTGATTTATCCGCAGCGCAATTTCTCATGAATCTCCGTGCCTGTTTTAAGAGAAACACATGATCAGAGGCGTAAGTTTGTTTTAAAAAGTGGGTGGGACAGGTGTGTGTGTGTGTGTGTGTGTGTGTGTGTGTGTGTGTGTGTCAGGGGGGGGGGGGCGGGGGGGGGTTACAATGTTGCTATGTACAATAACAATTTTAGAAAAAAATAACATTACAATGTCTAGAAATCAATTTCAATAGTAATATTACATTGGGTTTAATTAGTCTTTTAATGAGATCTACTAATATTGTTAGCGTAGATAGATTTAGCTCAGTGATTAGATCAGCGATTTTCCTTGTGTGCCTTAATGGTCTTGTGGTTTAAACTTTTGCCAACCGTGTCAGAGATTCTGGGTTCTAATCCGCACACGTATAGATTTTTTTGTTTTTTTTTCATCAAAACCGAATGTGTTCATCAGTGGTTACAGTATATATCAAGCAGGGACACATTTGTGTGCCTTTTGTTTTGTGATTTCACCGGAACGAATATAGAGTCTCCGCAACGGCGATAGATTGAAGCACGCGTCTGAGTGAAGACTGTGCGCGAGCCACAAGAGAACATCGTTTCCATGACACTGATAGCCGCGGCAACGAGCACTCAGCTTGATTTAAAAAACAACACATTTTAGCACTAGATTGTCTCTTATTTAATAACGAACTAAATGAATGCTCTGCTAGTTAACTGGAGATGTTTTATTTATTTGTATTAGGTACATCCGTGCCTCGAAAATGTTTCACAAAGTGGTAGGGGACCCTGAGAAAAAGTGGTGGGGACATGTCCCACCCATAAATTGCGCCTTTCCACTTAAATCCATAAATCCATAAAGAATGTTTGAATCCATGTGCTAACACACTATCACTGTAAAGCTGCTTTGAATCAAACAAATCTGTATGGTAAAAAGCGCTACATAATTAAAGGTGACTTGACCATCATATATTCTGCTATAAACACCATAAAATAATTAGAGCACCATTTACTTGCCTCAAAAAAGTCTGGTATTGTTATTATTATTATATATTGCTACACTTCAATATGTGAATTATTTCATCAGAAAATTAACACTTTTAGAGTTGTCATACTTTAAGACAACTGAGCTGCGCACTTGTTGATATTTGTGTTTTGAAAAAGTTTTTGATTGATGTTTTGACTCCTAACCAATTTTCTACATTAAAAATTGTCTTTTTATTTGGGCTAGTAAAATTCATTTCGGGCTACCGAAATCTGAAGAGTGCCTACCCGAAGGGCTACCAGCGATTTTGAAATTTTGCAAACCCTGTGTATGATAATATAAACTAGTGTTCAATAGTTTGGAATCAGAAAGATTTTTAAAATTTATTTGATTAAAATACAGTAAAAAAAAAAAAAACTGTTATATTGTGAAGAAGTATTACAAATTAAAATAACTATTTTCTGTTTTATTTTATTTTAAAATTGTATTTATTCCTGTGATGGCAAAGTTGAATTTTCAGCAGCCATTACTTCAGTTTTCAATGTCACATGATCCTTCAGAAATCATTCTAACATTTATTAGCATCAATGTTGAAAAAAGTTGTGCAGCTTGATATTTTTGTGGAATCCATAATACATTTACCTTTCAGGGCTCTTTGATGAATAGAAAGTTCAAAATAACAGCATTTATTTGATTTATATATATATATAATTTAAAGTCTTTACTGACATTTTAATCAATTTAATGCATTCTTGAATAAAAGTATTAATTTCTTTCAAATCAAAAATCATACTGATGCCAAACTTTTTAACTGTAGGTGTATATGTATATTAACATTAAGCCTTAGTCCATCGGTCAATATTTGAAAATATTGTTTTCAAGTTACCTCCTCTACTGGTTGCCATCATAGTGAGTTGACAGCCAACATTGATCATTTCCTGTAGTAAAGCAGGGCCCTTCTTCACCACAAACCTTTGATCTGCAGAAGATACAAAACTTCTAATTAATTCACATTAATAACCCTAAATTATTTGCAATGATAATTCAACATGAATACAGGTCAGGTAGCTCAACTAGCAGAGCGTGGCATTAGCAACGACAAGTTTGGGTTTGATTCTCAAGGAGCACACATACTTGCAATGTATAGCTTGAATTCTTTTGGATAAAACCGTCTGCCAAATGCATAAATGTAATGAATTGTATTAGACAGGTAGTGGTTTTGGTATTATCTTACAGGAATAAATGTTGACACTTGAGTGGTGTGTGTGAATGCATTGCATACCCTCCTCTATGTTCTCAGAAACATCCATCCTGGCAAGGTGTGTAAGTAATAAGACTCGAGCCTTCAGGCTGTAGGGATAGCAGAACGGAGGCTCCTTCTTCTTAACATTAATATTCCCCAGCTCCCGAATCAACTGCATAAAGGAACAAACACCCAGCATTATATTTACTATATGAAATTGTAATCATTATCCACAAGCACTCTTAAATCTTCGCCACAAAATGCATATAAATGTTTGAACATTTTACCTGGGGAACTTCTATGTTGTCTGTTGGTCTTATAATGGCCTCTTTGTTACTACGAGGATCAAACTCAAATGCTGCTGTCAACACCATCACCAATCCTGTCAAACAGAGAGAGACTCAGTCAGATGAATTCACGAAAGGATGTCGTAAAATAGTTTTCTGAATGGTGACCTTACGTCCTTCTAGGTGTGCACTTACGTTTCATGTTCATTGTAGGTGTTTTGTACATAAAGTGCATAAAAAGCTGAGTTGTGTTGATCAGGATCTGATCACCGCTGTAGCGAATGGAACGGTACCACCATGTGCCCTAAACACAAATGCACACATTAATATAGGGTTTATCAGAATATGAATCAATGGAAATCAATTAAAGGGTTTCTATACTAGTTTCTAAAATGCCTGTACAAAACAACCAACAAGGTACACTACTGTTTAAAAGGTTCTTTTATTTTTATTTTTTAATGAATTGATATCTTTTATTCGGCAAGGAAACATTAAATTGATCAAAACCAACAGTAAAGTCATTTAAACATCGGTTTCAACATTGATAATAATAAGAAATATTTCTTGAGCACTTAATTAGATATTAGAATGATTTCTGAAAGATCATGTGACACTGAAGACTGGGGGTAATTCAGCTTTGTCATCACAGGAATAAATACAATTTTAAAATATAGCTGCAAGCAGCCATTACCGGGGCCAAGCGCAAGAAGCGGCAACAGATGCCATCATGGGTGGGAGTGGCAGATCTACTGCAGCAAGGAGCAACTAAAGACATTTTAAGAGAATTTTTTGGGCAAATGGCTAAAAAGTCATATATACAGTAACTTTTAAGATGATTTAATGGATTATCACTTTCGACCAATAGGTGGCGCAGTTACGAAATCGATGTGATGTGGTCAGAGTGAGGTGACAATGACATATACAATGGGTGCTTCTCAATATCCCTCCTTGTCTCCTCGATCCTCCGTCCTCCATCCTATGCCCCGGAAACCGATCGAGCTCAGCCATCTTGAAGGACATCTCAATTCTCTAATTGCACCGCGAGGAGGCGAGGATCGAGGAGTGAGGAGGCTTCCAGAGGAGCTATGAGCGAGGATGCACAGTTGCATGCTTTGCGGAAGTGTTTTACAGACTAAACGTGACGCACGTATAAATTCTCCTCCCCCTTCACGTCGGTCACAATCATTTTAATTTATACTTTACCATTGCAGTTTAAATAAACCACACATCTCACATATTTCAACAGGGTATCTTGCTTTATTATTATTTATTACTAATTTCTTAAATAACCAAACTTCAACAACATAAGGGCAGATCCTTTGAGCGCTGCTGATGACGCAGTGAAGTGACGCTCGAGTGATCAAGTATTCCAAAGTATAAAAAAAAACTTTCATTCGATTCCTCTGTCCTCATTTTCTTTCCTTGCAGCCTTCCCTCGCATCCTGCAGGGGGTGGAGCTGAGACGCGAGGAAAGGAAGCGAGGAAAGGAAACGAGAATGCACAAATAAGAATTGAGAAGCACCCAAAGTTTGGTGTCAAAATGTCAAGGCATTGCAGAGATAAAGACGTAATAGTCATTTTGGCAGCATGCCTCAATTTTGCTGCTGCGGTATACGAAAACGGTTTTGTCTATCGTCACGAAATCCATAACTTTTAGTCGGCATGGTCTGGAGATGATATGATTCGATTTTGGTGAAAATCGGACGAATGGTCTAGGAGAAGTTTGAAAAAGAAGTTTTTGAAAGTAAATAAAGATGGCATACAGGAAGTTTGTCCAAATACATCAAACTTGGTATCTATTGGCGCTTTTCCAATGCTGGTACGGCTCGGTACGGCTCAGTACGGTTCGGCTCGGCGCGGCACGGTTCGGCTCGCTTTCGCTTTACCACTGCTTGGTACGACTCGGCACGGCACGGCGCGGCTCGCTTTAGCTCGGTTTGCTTTTCCACTGCAGATAGTCCCGCTTCAAAGTGGGTGGGATTATAGTCGGACCGTAGTTTATCCGCTCCTCGGCAACCAACGAGACGAACGTCTGCACTTTGTCCACTGACCACGATTCAGCCATTTCTTTTTTATGGAAGTTTTCTTTCTTTCTTTTTTCTTCAAGCAAGTCAAGCAAGTAGTTTTAAAACAGGTGCTACAGCGGTGGCTGTTGTCTACTGGCTATTTAAATCTAGTGGGTTTAGTGTCTCGTGTCGCAAATACAATGACGCTGATAGTGACGATTCTGTCTGTCTGACCAATCAGTGATCTGTAGTGTTTTCACGTCACATTTTAGTATCGGTACGGTACGCTTGGAACCTCAACAGACCAGGTACCATTTAAAGCGAGCCGAAGCGAGCCGTACCGTACTGTACCATGCAGTGGAAATGCGCCATAAGTGAGCCGTACCGAGCCGTACTGTACCATGCAGTGGAAAAGCGCCAAAGCGTGCCGTACCGAACCGTTCCATGCAGTGGAAAAGCGCCATAAGTTCTCGGCATGACCCAAGGAATCTATTAAGACCAGTGTCATTACAATAAGCATATTTTTTCAAAAGTTATTAGCGTTTTTGAAATTTAGTTTTGACCAACAGGTGGCGCTGTCTCGAAATCTTTTGAGTACCTTCAGGGGATGGTGTTGGTGGCAAATTCTTAGTTTCATAATGTTACAGCAATGCATTTGTTAAGTATAGCATTTTACATCACAAAACTGTATTGAAGTCAATGGGAATTTCATGTTTTTTTCTATTATAGCGCCACCAAGAGGCAAAATCCTCAGAATGAGCCCATACATGTGTGTGCCAAATTTGGTGAAAATATCTCAATTCGCTTCGGAGTTATAGACATTTATATGAAAAAACATGTAAAAAAATTACTGACACGTGACTTTGATTGAATTTTACTACCCCTTACTATCAATATTTTGGCATTTGGGCATTGGCGTATAGCCAGCGACCTATGTTTCCAAACTTCTGACGGTGGTTTTGTCTCGATCGGACTAACGGTTTCGAAGATATCGGCAAATGTTTTTTAACCGCTAAATCACAACGCTACACAAACCGTAAACAAAACCTAAGCATATTTGGTATCTTTGGACTCGGCAAGGATTCAGGATCCCAACGAGATGACTCCCGTGAAAATATGTCAACCACACCCAGAGTTATAAACATTTGAAAAATAAATTTCGTTTCGAAACTTCTCAGGCTCCTGCAGAGCATCGTACTGATGACCCATACCGAGTTTCGTAACAATTCGTTCATGCGTTCAGAAAATACAGCATTTTAGCACATAATTCAAAATGTCCGAAAGCTAAAATGGCCGACCTGGGAAAATTGGATATCAGTCGACTCGGCATGACGCCCTGAATCTAACGAGACCACTTTTATGATTTTTGGACAAACTGTTCAGAAGTTATAAGCAAAAATAGCCATTTTTCATATCTCTGGACCAGTAGGTGGCGCTGCGCCGAAACGCAGCATGTAGCCTCAGGTCATGCTTGTGATGACACGTACCAAGTTTGGTCTGAATAAGATTAAGCGTTGCGGAGATACAGCCTTACGTCTGTTTTCGCAAGCGCAACGTAAAATTAGTTTGTGCGTTTATCGTAAACGTTTTGATGAATCGTCTTGAATTCCATAACTTTTTGTCGGCACTGCCTGGAGATGATCTGGTGCAATTTTGGTGAAAATCGGACAAACCGTCTAGGACGAGTTTGCAAAAGTAGGTTTTTTGGACAATTCAAAATGGCGGCCATATTTTTATGATGGAAAATGACGTCATAGGGTGCGATCTAATCGTCATGAGCTCAGGAATCAGAGGAAAAGAGAATTTTGTTGATAGGCCTTACAGGTTCAAAAGTTATTAGCATAATTTGAGTGAAACTTTGGACAGGTGGTGGCGCTAGAGGCAATGAGTTAGAGACACCAAAATTGGTGTATTTAATATTGGGACTGTCCTCTATCAGAATGTCAAACCAAAACAACTTTCCCGCAAACGGTTCTATGGGCTGCCATAGACGCCCAGTCGGAAGAAGAAAAATAAGAACGCTAATGATTACAATAAGTGCCTCCGCACCTTCGGTGCTTGGCCCCTAAATATATTAAAATAGAAAATACTTATTCTAAATTGTAATAATATTTCACAATATCACTATTTGTACTTTATTTTTGATCAAACACATGCAGTCCTGGTGAACATAAGAGACTTCTTTCAAACACATTCTAACTTTTGAACAGTAGTGTACATGTTTTCTATGAAATCTAAAGTCTAAGTTATTGATCGCCACTAGAAGACTAGCTTACCACAACCACAGGAAGGATGACCATAAAAGCCAACCCATAGACCAGCAGCACCTGTGAAAGGCACAAGCAAACAGGTTTTGCCATTTATTGCACTCTTGGAGCATTTATATAATTTTTAGTTGACACTTAAAATGTGCTTAAAACTTAACTGACAGCTGGAGAAAAAAAAAGTGTGTGAACTTACCAGCATGGAGTTTTTCTGGTCAACAATCCACGCAGGAAGAGCGATTCCAAAACTCGTCACTGGTCAAGAGTGAAATGAAATCGAGATAAAAATGAGGGGGGGGTTTTTTCTTCAGTTTAGGGAACACTAAATAATCAATCAATGAGCTAACAAGTTAAAGAAATCATCACCTCTTGGGCCATCAGGGTTGCCATATGTCTCCCAGTTTTTCCGTGATTCCTCATTTGTCAAACTGTGAGAAAGTATGAGTGTGGAAAACAATTTCAAAAACTGATGATTACATACTGTGCCATATTGACAAGTAATTGAAAGGTGCAGCGTGGGTATTTCAAGAAGATTAAGCATTTAATTCTGGCACAGTGGATGACATTTTTAATGAATAGCTTTTTTATGAATTGTATTGTGCTAGCTAAAACAACACACTGCAATACCAAGATTGAAAAATTAGTTGCCACAGCCATAAATAACATGACATTAAATTTAAAAGGCAACTTTGAATAAAACGGGTGGCGGCAGCAGTCTTACGCTGAGTAAGCTTTAGCAAGCTTCATGAACATGGCCTCATCTCCACCTTTATCAGGATGGTGTTTTAGAGACAGAACTCTGTACTGCTTCTTAATCTCAGCAACAGATGCCCCCTAAAGAGGAACATAATGGATCTATTAATCTTGAGAAGAAGTAGTTTAGAGATTAAAATGACAAAGAACAAGATTAACAAGAGAGAAAGCAAGAATGCCGTCCTTACCGCGTCCAAGTTGAGGACCTCATAGGGGTTATACTCCTGGTACTCTCGATCTAATTTAGACACCTTATAGGCCAGGAAAAGAAATACTGCCCACCCAAACAATAGGGCTGCTTTTCTAAAATGACATAGAACAACAAAAAAAGTGAATTTTAGTTTGGAACCACAATTTACAATTAAATAGACAGTAGTTGCTGTGTATGTAATGGTGACTAAATAGCCAAAAGAGCAGATTTAAACCATGAAAGACGGGATGTCTGAATACTCCATGCATCTGATCCAAGCTTTGTGCTTTAAATAGTTGGTGCAGAGCTTTGAAAAGTGTCTGAGGCCATTATTTTGCTGAAGAATTAATAATTTCATAAGTTTTGACCACTGTGCTGCATTGCTGGGTTGTCACAGCAATATACAAGAAGAGTACATTTGATCTAGATCGCTATATGAAATTTCAGAAATCAAATCAAATAGTGTGATATCAATAAACAAAAACTTACAAAATCAACTGCTGTCCTAATGGTGAATCATAATAAAAAATGTTTTCAGAATACCAAGCACTTAATACATCATATGCTAATATATTAAACAATATATATATATATATATATTTTTATATCCTTTAATATACTTAACATGCATAATGGGCTAATTAAAAAAAAAAAAATTAGCATTTTGCATCATCATAAACAGATGCTGTTGTACAAATGCAAATGTTCCCCAGTGCACACTATATACAAACAACTACTGCAATAATAACAATCTATGCATGTTAAAAACTAAATGCTTACAAACTGCAAAAAGACAGAAAAACAAGCTAAATGAGATGAATTCCCCTGAAATGCTTTCACAGAAACAATCACTTACTTAAGTGTTGGAACAATGCTCTGCTGTGATTTCATAAGCCGAAGGCGATACCACAGACATCTTCCATGAACTCTTCGTAAACTCTTCAACCGCAATTGCTCTGTGAATTAATTTGCGTAACAGACAAGAATAAGAAAAAACAATTGTGCAATGAATCTAATTCTCACTCACCATGCAAACATACAGCCCATACCAAAGCAGTACTCTGTACACTGATAGCTTCAGATAATAATGCTATGGTACGTTAGTTAGTGGGGTTTTGCAAACTTGGCATGGCATTTGATATTTTTATCTGAATGTGACCCTTTGTGGCCCTCTTACATTGAGAGCCATATTACAAAAGCTGCCTGAAAATGTACAAAAATGTTAATGTTATATAACAGAAATGAACAAGACAAGGATTTTTGTGCAGTAAAACCATCATTAATAATATCTAGACAGAGGCAGTCTGTCGCACAGTCGCACACACACAAAAAATTAAGCTGTAGTGTTTTCAGCCTGATAGGAAATTACTGAGCATTAATGAGCTGTAAAAACCAAGAAAGTGTAGCTTTTCTTGAATGTTGCTTGTGTTACACACTTCATTCTTGTTTGCACAGCTGAACACTTGCACTGTTTATACACTTAAATATGTGTTTACAAATTAATTATAAATTTGTACCTTTTACCTGTCAGTTTATTTTTGTGTTTTCTTCTATGTAGCCTGCAGAAACTACATGCCATTGTGGCTGTATTTATTGCTGTGAATTTTATCAAGTTTGACTTGACTTAATAGCATGTCTATCTGTTGCATGTAAACAGCATGTAAATGAAAGATACACATGCAGTTCATGAAAGAGCACAATTCACAAGAAGGTGAAAAAACATTTCATAACACATGCTTACAAATTAGTGGGAGTGGCACTGAATGCCATGCAGATTGCAGACGGAAAAGAATTTAAAAATCCACTGCATTATATTATATGTTCAGATTAGTTGAATGTGTTTGCCAACGTAAACAAATGAGGACATACGAAAACAAGCCTATTGAACGGAGGACCACTGCATTTAACGTATGTAGCTGGTGTGTGATGGCAGCAAAGCTCAAATAGAAACCTGAAAAGCCTTATTAATAAGTATCTGCATTAGGATCCGTTACTGACACTTCTAAAATACTGGAAATATCCCACCTAGTCTAGTTTATTTGAATAAGGGTCAGCTGCTAATGCCACACATTAACATTCTGGCAAGCCCTTGGTGTCATTACTAGATTTACTCTCGGCATTCGTTTTATTAAATACAGCAATGCCATCAAATATTCTTCTCAGAAAAGGCAATCTGGTAATCAGGGTGATCAGGCAACTGGTTAGCTGGTAGTGCATTAGCATATGGGGCCTTACCCGCATTCTGATCCCGGGGCCAGAGGTAATAGGTGGCTGGGATGACTATTAGTCCCACAAAGGACGTGAGGAAATAGAAAAAAGTGTTGCCACTGTCGTCGTACTGAAACTGCTGTCCAGCCATTTCGCAGCGGCACTAAACCCCAATTTTTTCTGCCGCCTTGCCGCCGTATCAGTCGCTTCACTGTAGGACTAGACACATATGCGGGAGAGGGAAGCCAGCATCCACGCACTTTCTGCCACGATAGCTATTGTTTTCAAAATAAAAGTACCCCGGTGTTTGTATTATTTTTATTAAGACTTTGCACGCCTAAGTTGATTATATAAAAAAATTTAAAAACGCATTTTATTTTACATTACTGCGATTGTTGTTGGTAGGATAAAAATGTATATATTTTACTCTTAACACGCCTCGCCGCTTGCTTTCGTAGTTCTTCTGAAATACGAAAAACCTGTGCGCCGTTTTTAAGTAGAAGTGTACGTGTTCTACGCGTGCGCGTTGTAGTATTACTTGTTTTACACCATTTATATTTTTGGTTGAAACCCCTGATTTTAAGTTTTTATTTGGCGTTTAATTTACAAAATGACAGCCTGCTAAAAACTGATGAAGAAAAAAAACAACCTTTACAGACATTGGGACCCTCACACTCTCAACCAAGGACCCCAAAACAAAAGTTGGCGTGCCCACCTGTTCTGCGCAATATCATGTACTGATGTGTGTGTAGGTTGTTAGATTCTGCAAACAGCATAATTTCAACATTGACAAACCCGGCCCAGAAGTTCAGTCGTCATTTTCTCCTCCAGTATGTGGAACCATTGGCGTTTTAGCCTATATGTAAACATGTTTTTTGTTTTTTGTATTTTTTTTTTGTATTTGTATTTGCCTGTTACTGTTTGTGTTTTTTTTACTGTTTGTCTTTTGGACCATGTGTGTAGTGTCCTTAATAAAAGCTTTGATGATGATGATGACTATTATATAATAATATTTGGACCCAGATTATTGTAGTGGATCATTTTAAATAAACCAAAAAAGTATTTCAGATGAATAGAGATCCTAGAGCCTCAATAAAGAATATGGTTTTATTAGACAATCACTTGATTTTTTTTTTAATTCAATATGTATTTTTATGATATATCGCTCCAACATAGTAGTGCATATAACAAAAAAAGACTAACTACTGTGCTTTTCGACTTGTTTACAGAAAAGTCACCTTACAATTTAAATTAGGACATTTTTTCAACACATATTAATGTCATTATCATATGCAAAACTGAAAATAATTTTCTAATTGTACATTCATTTTCTTTTTTTAGTGGTTCGCCCAAGTAAGGCGGCAATGTCTTGTCTTTTAGATATTCCACCAAGACTTCCAGAATGTCCATAAGGTAGTTCATGGAAAGGTTCTTGGGTTATATCATCTTCCATGCAATCCACTGGCACATTATACGTTTCTAGGAACATGTTGTATAAAATACAGCAGGCCTTCACAGCTAAGCTGGTTTGACAGATGGAATGCTTCTGCAGACACCGGAGCCTTTGAAAACGAGATCTCAGATTATGGATGGAACCTTGCACCACTGCAAGAGATGACTGCACTTTCTGATTATAACATACTTTTTTCTGTCCGACTGTTCCATAATCAGGGAACGGGGTCAGGAAGTGCTCTGAAAGTGGGAAGGTGGAATCACCTATGATGTGCTTGCCATGTAGGAGAGCCACGGGGTCTTCCTGCAATGCCTTGCCAATCTCCGTGGCTAACAGTACTCTTGAGTTATGCCAGTTACTAGGGTGCTCTGCAGTCACATAGGTAAAACGACCCTTGTGGTTGCAAAAAGCCATGAGTTTTATAGAGTACAACCCCTTTGCATCTCTATATACCTCTGGATCTGGCAGATCAGTAGGCTTCTCAATAGGAATGAAACACGTTCCTACTACACAGAGAGTGTCTGGTAACCCCACAGTAGAAAAGAAGCCCAGCACAGACATTTCTGCTTCCTCCCCCTGAGGCCAGTGAATTTCATTAGCCAAATTGCTGGTAATAAGGATGCAGAATTCAACCAGCTGATCACAAATGAGTGACTCTGTGATGTGGAAGCGGTTTGCCACACTGTGGTAAGACTCTTGGGTAGAAAGAGCCCACAGAGTGGCAAGCACAGCATGCCACACGCTCCATCCCTCTTGCCTAATGGCAGTCCATTTACAGGGTGCCAGCAGCCGTACCAACTCCTACAAACACAAAAAGAAAAGAACAATTTGTTCACAAAATACAAATGAGATTAGCAAAAAGTAGGACCAGCATTAGCTTAAGTAGGCCTACCTCAATTTGAGTTGGCGTCAGCTGGAAGTGACTCTTAAACTCACTTATTGTCAAGCTTTGCAGTATGGTATTGAACACTTCTCTTTCTTCCTCTCTGACACGTGAAAAAGAATAATGTTAGAGCATTTATCTAAAATTTCATTATAAAGTTGTCTTGACAGAAACTTTCTTTCTTCAAATGCTGTGTGGACCGTCTTACCTTTTCAGATTATCACTTTGTTTAGTTTTCAGCTTAATTCTGTTGAAATATAAAATAATATCAAAATAACAATTTGCATCATTGGTTTTTCCCTGCTAGATTTTTTTTTAAAGCTTTTTAGTTGCTGCTGGTCATTGGCACTATAAGGAGAAAAAAAGTACAATGCTGTCACTGGGGCAGTACCCTAATGTACAAAAGCTTTTTTATAAAAAATAAATAAATAAAAAAGTACATTTTTGTACCTCATTTACCCCTAAATGGCACATAATAGTATCTTAAAGGTACATATTAATACTTTAAAACAGTGGTTCTCAATCCTGGTCCTAGGGAGCCACTGCTCTGCACAGTTTGTATGTCTCCCTCATTTAACACACCTGATTCAGATCATCAGCTCGTTAGGAAAGAGCTTTATTAACTGAAGTGGGTGTGTCAGATGAAAGAGACATATAAAATGTGCAGAGCAGTGGCTCCCTAGGACCAAGATTGAGAACCACTGCTTTAAAAGTACATATTAGTACCTTAAAATGTACATAATAGCACCTACTGCCCCAGTGACAGCTTTGTACCTTTTTTTCCAGTGAGTGCTGGTGATCCTCAACCAGCAGCTAGCAAAGGTAACTTAGCCAAGCTGCTTTTTAGAACATTGTGGTCCGACAGTCAACAGTAAATGAAGAGCAACCACGTTCGAAACATTACCAGTTTAAAATGGATTTTCAACAGGCTGGGAAACAGAATGAATACACGCTGTAGTGAGCCGTTTGTTTACTAAATGAAGCAACAACGGCGATATTAAAACAATTTTTATTCACCTGGCTTTCCGGCGAGTCGCATTTTTCTTGAAATATAAGAAATATTCAGCATCATAACTGTCCGCTAATAAAAAAGCAATACATGTTTCCAGCGCCATGCTTTCCGGAGTCGGACTCAGTTATATTATTTCAAAGTAATTTAAGCCTATGTATTTATTATTTCAAGTTATTTGGAACACTCGCTGGTGTCTGAAAGTGTCTTTTGAGCTGAAAATGGTTCAAAATGCCTTAAATGTTGAGGTTAGCTGGTAGCCTGATATGAAAACATGCGAAATGAGCAGCGGTACTGCAGACCGTCTCCAGACTCAGGTAAACTCCGCTTTTGTTCATGTCCACAGTTTAAGCCCTAGTTGGCCCGCTTTGGACCAAGATATTCGGTGGGCCAAAAACCCCTGGCCGTTGCCCCCGATGTGGCACGATCAATCCCCGTAAGTGCCGGTGGAAAACGCGACTGGTCCTCCTGGCACGCACTAACACTGGGTTTTTTGCCCGACAGTGGTTGGTTAAGCGGCTACTGGTGCAATGCCGCCCTCTTATGGCAAATCCATATATGTGATGGATTGAGGCTTTTCCTTCCGAATGCGATTGATTTTCTTCAGTGAATATTGCTGTCAAACCAATCAACTAGGCTGAAAATATCTTAAAGCAGCCCAAGATAGCTGTTTCATCTGGTTTAAGTTGGTCGCCGGCATGGCCAATCAGGTATTCTGCTCTAGTTTAGCTGGTTTAAATGCTGGTAAGAGTGACCAGCTAAAAACAATAAACTAACCAGTCTAAAAACCAAATTAGTCTGGCTTAAGGTTTTTTTTTTTTTTTCATCAGTGATGGCATGAAAACATATCTTGTCTCAATCTATTAAATCATAATCAAAGTGTGCCTTAAAATCACATTCCATCGATAGATGGCACCAGAGTACAATCTGATTTATTTATTATTCATCTTCTCCATATAATATACATAGTCTCAGTATGGTTCAATGGTTCAACTGTTAATAAATTCCACATTATTTACAACAAAAAAAAAAAACATCAAGTGTCTCTGTCTATGCTGATATGAGAGACAGAGTAAAAACGAGAAGTGATCATGCTCAAACCCTCCTCAATAACCTTTGCCATTTCTTCTTCAATCCCATTGACCTGAATGATGATAGCAGCACAAAATAACAAATAAGAGCTACAGTGATGAGACTGCTTACTTCAGACTTGAGAGATGCTCTTACCGTCCTGCGTTAATCAGACAGAGTTAAATATGCAGGGAGTAATTGTGCAGGTCACAACCCTCATCTTAATTTACACATTATTAAATGGAGGTTAAAGGCTATGCTCTATAAGGCCATAAATCTGTATAAAAATCAACCATAACAAGTTGCATGACAATTAAGAAATTAATTTTTTGTTTCATGCCCAAATATATTATGTAAATTTTCTTTACAGTCATGGTTATTTGAACACTTTTACAGTTATAGGATCAATGGATATTCAGTAGTAGAAATTGTAAAATAAAGGTCATGTCCATAAATATTTCATATTTGTGTTCATGGTCCCAATGCATTTGTAGGCTAATCGTTTGAAACTAAAATTTATCACGCAAGACGTAAATATGTTAATATTAGTGTGATGTTTTTTCATGTTGCTAGACTGCTTATTTTGTACACTTTAATAGACTTTTTTTGTTCTTATAGAGGAAGTTCAATATGAATGTAATTAAGGAGTAAACCATAAAGGAGTAAACCAACATTATCATTACAGAGAGAGAAAATATTAGCATCTTGAGTTCAGTCACAGTGCGTAACATGATATATAGGCTATATAAGAATATAGGCTTATAAGTGGAACAATTTATTTATTGTATCCTGTGCTTTCTGTTATGTTGTGCTGAGCTATTCAGATGCCAGACCCATTTTAGAAATAGACTTGAATGCAGCTCATCACTGATGAAGATGAAGCACCACAGTGCAAACTGTCCTATGTCCTCCCTAAAATCTTGTCTATTATTTTCCTCAAGAGGCTTTATAGCCGTCTTATCCAGCTGATGGGCAATGCACTGTACCCGGAGATGAGTGGGCAGGGGTGCCCAACAGGGTCAGATGTTTCTGCCCTTATGCCATAGCTCCTTATTCAAAAGCTCTTATTCATCCAGACACCCTGGGTCTGTGTAAGCCTTGCAGACTGTGATCCCATTGTCTTGTTAAAAGAAGCTACAGGGAACAGAAGTCATCCACCTTAGGTTTCTGACACACCAATCAGCATCTGTGATGTCTCCTCCAGCTGACCTCTCATATGACCTTTGTAATGGGGCGAAGCATTTAAGAATGATCAGCAGCAAATGGAGGCTGGAATGGAGAGCTCTGTGGCCATCAGCGGTGCTAAGTGACCACTGTGATGAAGTGATTTTATAATCATAATACCATAATCCCATGATCTTCAGACTTTGACCCTTATGAGGTCATAATGGCCCCTTTCATTCAGCAACACATGTTGGCTCTTAAGTGAGAGTTCTCTAATTATAAAGCTATATTTCTTCAACAAAGCACCATATTCAGCTTTAGCTAACTGACAGCTTTAAAAGGTTTGCATAACTACCAAAGTTGCACAAAATAAGAATACTATGTGTGATGGATGACAGATATAGATGAAGGAACCAGAGATACAAATCAGACAACTTTAAAGATACAAATTTGATAAGTGAACCTAATTTGTGTTAAAATCAACGATATTTAATTTGTATCCCAGATATTATTATTATTATATAATAACAGGTGTGTATTATTATTATTTTACTATTATACCAGGGTTTTATCAGCTATAGTTGATGATCACATGCATGATTTTTCTCAACACACTTGACATGCAATTACGGTAAATGTTGTGTTTCCAGTATTTTATCTAATTTGTACAAATTTTAACTAACAAGAAACAAAATAACACATCATAATGACTTACCAGTTATCACTATCAATATCTTATTTTATTTTTCCTTCCAACTAATTTTAAGTAATATTGAGACAATTTTAAATAATTAAAAGGCAGAAACTGACACTTTTTTAAATTACAAAATAATCAAGTTAAGAAATATTACATTTTACACCCAAAAAAAAATTAAGAAAAAATTAAGAATTATTTTCTTAGTCAATTTCAATTAAAGCTCCTTGGAATAGATTATGATGCTTGGAAACAAGCCAGAGGGGTGGTAATGAACTCAGTAAATTATAAGTAAATTATACATATAAATAATAATTATACAATAAACATTTTTAGAATGAAATGTCTTTTTATTATTCGAAATAAAATTACAGCTTTACAAAAGGTGAAAATATAAGACTTCTTTGTTAGTACGAATTCTCCTTAAGAGCACAAAGCAATCATCAACAGACAAGAATGATTCCATTTCTAATGGCAGGTCATCCAAAATCCTAATGTCAACTTTTAAACAAAATGCAGCAGCTACATTCAAGGTTTGTTGGATTTCAAAGTCCCTACCGTGTTTCAGGCTTAGGGTTATTTCTTAACGGGCTCATTGCTTAAGGTCCAAAGTCACTGCTCTGATTCTTATTGGGGCAAAACGTGATTAGGGATAATCTCATATTTTCCACCAGTTTCCCCTCATCCTCTGTAGGGTTCTCGTCAGGGAAAGTAAGCTCGGGTCATGCATCTCAAAAGCTATTTCAGCTTTTGCGTCAGTTCGTCGAGCACGTGGCCATAAAATTCGCCTGGTTGCTACATTTGGCAGTCAGGTCAGGAGTAATGACTTTCACCAATGCTTAACGGATTGCTAGACATTGCACTCATGAGCCGCGTATGAAAAGGCTATTTTTCCCCACATCTTCCTGTACGATCATATGATTGGACAAATCAAGCAAAATGCGCTTATGAGGCAGTGTGATAGGCAATGGCTCGGCTCCATAAGACCAAAAAGCCAATGCGGCTTAAACGGATGTGTTGTTATGATTATTCGGCCAAGTAACTTAATCCTACATATAGATTAGCTGCTAATGACTGGGGAAACAGGTGCTTTGCAATCCAAGGAAAGTCCACATAACCATGAAAACAACGAGCCTGTCAATCCCTCCAAGGAAGGTTTTGCACAATTAACATATTTTAATAGAGGTATGAGGAAACTTGTAGATTGAAAACTATTTCACAACCACAAAAGAATGCAAGGGGTTTTATTATAACTTACAATTTACATAATTTAATACTAATTTGTTCATCAAACATTTAAATGAAAGTATCTAACCATACAATGAGGTGAAGACTATGGCAACTCCATTGTAAAAAGCAAACAAGCACATGGTTCATCTAAAAGGCTTCATGTTGCCTCTGCCATCCTTTACTTTTCTCCTCTACTCACTGCATACACCTTTGACCCTGAATAAGGTATTTGTTACAAGACCTTTCTCTAATGCACATGGAGTGCTTCCAGAAGTGGTACCAGTGTGTGTGTGTGTGTGCGCACGCGCACATTCGTTACTACCTAGGAAAATAGAGAGTATAAAATGTATCATGCTCTCTCAAAAATGCAGCATAACCAGTTTCATGTAAAAGATAAAGCACCCTTTTCTCAGGATCACATCTTTTTCATACCTTTAATACAATAATATAATACCAATATCCTTTCTAATTATTGAAAAGCTCACTGATCCTCTCTGAAAAACAGTAGAATTACGTCCTTTTTTAACAGCTAAGCAAAAAAAAAAGAAAGAAAAAAAGCGCTGAACCTAAATCAATAGTGCAAATCACAAATAGTGCAAAAACAAAAAAAAAACAAAAAAAAAAAAACACTTCGGACTTAAATAGAACTAGAGAATGTGATCCCAGCAGCTGGAGAACATCACAGTCTTTGAACCAGGATGTGCTTGGAGTCCAGGAGAAGACATGAACCCCATCCATCCATGATAAAAGTGCCCGTTGATTTAGCGGGAGAGGTGAACCAAAGATTCAGGGCTCTCTCTTCCTTGCCTCATCTCCACTCAGCTGAATTTGTCTTGAATATTCATTAGGCTGCTGCTGGACTTGGCTCTTTTGGCTGTGGATCAAGATGAAGGAATAGATTAAAACCAGACTGGTTTGCAGAATATCCACTGCACAGTTTAACCTTGAAGTCAGAGACTTTGCTCAGAGCATTAAGAACAGTTTGTGTATTACATACACGCTTTGAAAGATGCTAAAAAGTGGTAGTCTTGGTGATCTGTGTCTGAGGCAAGTACTGTCTGTAAGTAATTGACCATGAAACCGAAAGCATGCAGTTAACACTGTCGAACACCTCTGTCCTTTTCCTTGAACCTTCTGCAGAGACAATTTGCACAGCTAAACAAGTTACTCACGGTGTATGAGCTTGCGTTTCTTTTGTTCCGAGTGCAGGAAGCTGCTTAAGTAGAAGATGATGGGGAGGAAGAGCATGAAGCTGGACACTGCGATGACAGGCACCGTCTCTTCCCGAGGCAACGAGCAATTAAAGTTTTTACTCCACAACCGCCGTGTCATGTTCATCTGAGAAGTAAGCGAGGTAATCAGTTTCACAATATCAAATAGCTCCATCTTTATCTGCTACCATTAAGCCTGAAAAACATTTTTCTTCGTTGGATCAGTGTGTTAGATTACATTACTGCATTAGGAAGACGATTTTATCCAAAGCAAATTACAATCAATTTTATCATGCATTTTCATCCATTCTGTGAGAATCAAACTGTGAGCATGGTGTGAAATGCTACTGTTTATTAAGACTGGAATACACTACATGACTTTTAAAATCGGAACATATTTTAAACACTAGGCATTACACACTTGCCGAATTTGTAAATGTTACAGAGGAAAACGGGCCGTCATAACAACCAGATTTTCAAGGTGTCCCACACACAACAAACTCACACAAGCTGCGTCCCAAATCAGAGGCTGCATCCTTCATTTCCTAGGCCACAAAGGATAGAAGAAGTGGATCCTCCACAGCCTAGCCTATTCCAGGATTCATTGCGCTGGTGACGACTGGATTTTTTTTTGGAGAAAATGCCAGATTACACTTTTAAGTTTAGGTATTGGGTTTCAACTTACTCGAATATCTAACAATATTAAATGTACAAAAAAAAAACCTTTAAAGGGGTTCAAATGTTGACAAATCTTACTAATATGTTTTATTATGTACATAAATGGACCAAGGTGAAGAGATTTAGACAGGTTGCAAACCCGGTTTTGTTTTCAAACAGTTTAATATAACTTTCAAAAAAGTACAGTACAAAAGTTACTGCCGCTCATCAATGGCAACTGTCACAGTTGCAAGGCAACAAGAGGAATCCTCCTTAGGCTAGACCGACTAAGTGCCCATGAAGGTTTTGGGCTTTTAGTATGAATATGTAAGCCTTACTGTTATCTATAAGGTAGTGTGCTCCAAAAGCATTCAAAACTTGCAGTCTCTCACTTCCGCCAATATGGATCAATGATTTTGATGACATCACTCTACACTTTTTATCAGATTTTCTGTCCATTCAAATGCTCTCTAAAATTTACAGCATCCCGTCCCCTACATTATAAATGGATGCTGAAGCTGTGGCTAAAATGTGTCATTTGTTCACACATTTACTATTTTCTACACTGTGAATGGCACATAGTGCACTATAGGGAATGGGGAAAGATTCAGACAGTGTAAATATGCTTTCCATTGGGGCGAATAAAGTCTGGTTTCACATTAGTATCACGCGAACCGCCGCAGCCCACACACAGTCTGCCCTGGTCCAAAAACAAGATAGCACAGATCGGATCATATGCGTGAGTCGGAGCATCAGCACACCAGAAAATGTATCAGACCCATTTGAATTCAGCACAGAATGCTATATTTTAAAGCGATATGGAGGAGATTAGGAGGAGAAACGGTTAGAGATTAGGAGGTAACTGCGGGTTTACCAAGCTCAACGGCTCTGGCCAAGAAGTGATATAGACGAAACGCTATACGCTGATTTCACGCTGCCGCCATTTTGAAATCGAAAGTGAGGCTCCGGTGGGAAGAACCCCGGAAGTACAGATAGACAACAATGCTTGGACTACCAACCTGAAGCTGCTGCCGCGATTTACACTATTGGATGTTAATATCCAATATAGGATATGTATATAGTTTGTTCCTGCTTCTTTTTTTTCCGTTCTGAATTATATATAAAAAAATGTTTTATTTATAAATGAATTTCACTGTATATAGTCTAAAGTATGAAAGAAATGTATGTACATTTTTAGAATAACTAATTTCTACATTAAACACAACAATACGCCATCGCATTCGCGACTCTCCTATGATTAAAAGCGACACTTCCGGTTAGCGATATGTCCCGTCCCAACTTCCATAGTATTTTTTTTCCCTACTATGGAAGTCAATGGCTAACATCAACTGTCTGGTTACCAACATTCTTCAAGATGAATGTAGAAGAGAACAGAAGAAAGAAACTCATTTAGGTTTGGAACAACTTGAGGGTGAGTAAATGAATGAATTTTCATTTTTGGGTGAACAATCCTTTAACATCGCTCGGTTCGACCTTCGGACTTTCGAAGGTGTGGCCTTCAACTTGAGGGTCCTTCGAAGGATGCAGCCTCTGAATTGGGACACAGCTACAGAAACATGCACTTCATTGCTAGGAGGCGTGACAAATGAAAACAATGTTTTCTAAAATCAGCTCAAAATATCAAACATGTTTGATATCTTCCAACTGGATGGAATAGTAGTCAAGGAAAAAAAAAAAGGGAAAAAAAAGTCTGTGCCCATCACAAACTACAGAAACTCCAAATTCACAATATCTGAAGAATCAACTAGCGTCGACTTGTCCAGACTGGAAATTGGGGCAAAACGAGTGTACAAAAGCAGTGTAGTGTATTCCAGACTTTAGTTTGTACAGGTGTAGGGCTATAGAGGGTGCTATTTTACAATTCACCCAAACTTGGACATTTTAAAACTTAATTTGCTAATAACTTTTGGACTGTTTTTGTCAAATGTCAGGGTTTGTGTATAGTGGGTACTTACTGCGTCTTCTATATCAATGCAGAGTGTTTGGTTTTTCTCCATTCTACCATAGAGCTCGTTCAACCTTTTGTATGAGGCTTTGCAGTCTTTGCACAGTTCGGAGTGGTTACTCTGTTTAGAGAACAGGATACTCTCAAACTCAAGGATTTGTTTTAACTGTGCTTGTATTGATCTAAGTGAGCCATTCGATATTACCTGATATTGCTCAAAGCAGGTGAGTGACTGATTCAGAATGGCCATGAAGTACACAGTCTCATTAGAGAGAGCCTCTTGATCTTCAGTCAGACATTCTAATGAGGAAAAATGTGAATTTTACACATGACACAATTTCTTCATATTGCAAGTGGTGAGAAGTAGCCTATATTATCTGGTTAAAAGTGAAAATGAAAGAAACATGCTTAAGAGAAAGGATCCAGTCTAATGCCAGTTTCAGTTGAACCTACAATGTTTCAGGTTATGTTACTTACGCTTGCATTCTGCTGATATCCAGATCTCATCTAATTTGTTGAAGAGGGTATAGAGCAGCATCAACCTATCAGAACGCATCAGGCTGTCATGACAACTGACATTTCCAGGGCCCAGCTATGAGAAGACATAATCACACAAATTATTAAGCATTAACTTCTACATCTGCAGACCATAACTTATTTTATAATAACAGTGTGTGTACAGTGACAAAATACCCACAAACCAGCATATGTGTTAATCAAAATATATACAGTATGTACTGGCATCTTTAGCTATTTGTTCAGTTTAAAAAGGTGCAATAAGATAACAAAGATGTTATTTTACAAAGTTATTTTAAATTAACTTAAAATAGCTCTATAAGCTCACTAAAACATTCCAGAGTCAGTGTGAGTCAGGCTTGTTGAAACACAATGAACACACACACACAATCACGAGACATGAGTGCATGTGACCAGTGGTTGAGAATTCTATCAAACAACCTTCAAACCATTTAAGGGCACGTTTAGTGTTATAGATGGACATTTAGAGTAAATTAAACTTGCAATGAGCACTTACTTGGTCAGATGATATATTTGTATATATTTCCTCCAGACTGTTGAAGTAAGTGTAACAGTTCTGACAGACTTTGACAGGTCGTGCATAAGACACCAGGCAGTTTGCGCAAGTCACGTAGCGTTCACCGTAGATATGAAGCAGTTTAATACAATACTCGTTCACTTCCAAGTCATCTGGAAACGTAGATGAAAGACTGAGAGAGTAGAAGAACCCCAAACCGCTTGCCTGCGATACAGGCATGACTGCTGATGGAAGCTTTAATGCGACATCGACACTCATTTCCGATGGGTAAACCGAGCAGTTAGCAATGTTAATGAATGTAATCGCCAATCCTAAAAATAAGCATGATACCACACATGTAAATTTCGTTAACAAATCCATATCTTTTAGGACTCCAAATACAGAACGCTGTTGCTTTGCCAGACTCTGCACAGCTTCCTGTTTTCTTCTTGCCTGCGTCTCGATCACATGACTATGGTAAATCTCGCGATGGACGGGATTTTAAATGACAGGTGAAGTTGAAAGAAGAAGTGGAAATTGAGCCCAGTTTCAGCAAATTCCACTTCTATACAATTTATTGTTTAAATTAAACTATTCGCTTTAATTTAGATAAAAGCGATCTCATCGATAGGATCATATTGCACAAGTATGCTAGCCATAGAAAGAGCTGAATTCATTCAGTAGGCTATGGTCAGTGATCTCTGCCCATGTATTTAACAAAAAATATATGTGTGATGCACATTTCTTTTATGAAATATACATTTTACCTTTTATTTACTGTATTTAACCTACTTGGATATGATTGTTTACACTTCTACCGCGCTTCAGAATGGGACTTTTCGTCGGTTTTTGATCATGCACATAAGTCTAGGCTATTTGCTTTAATTATAACCACTAATATGAATCGATTCAAGGTGAATTTTAAATTGTTAGCAGACTCAGGAAGTACAAACACTTGATTTACGAAAATCTGGAATAAACACCTTAAATGTATTCTTTTTTCATTATTTTATTCTCTGTGTGTTTGGAGACAGTGGATTTATACACGCGCAACGCGCTGCATCCTCTCTCTTCTCGGTTTTTGACACCGCGTGCAATTTTGCGAATGTGTTAGCGCGCACGCGGCCAAAAAATAATTACGGAGTCAAGGTAAACGATCTGGGCTCCGATTCTGATTGTGTTAATTGTCGCAAACCCTCGAATCAAGCCACTGCAGTCAATGGTCTTTAATGTGAAATTAGTGCCTCTTGATAACTTGCAGTCCGCGGCAATTCTGCAGTCATGAGAGCCTGATGGAAATGGGGGACTCAGAATGCCTCGCATTAAGGGCTATTCTACTGCGTGCGCTGATGTCTGAGGGTAAATTCGCAGGTTTTATGTCGTGGATTGTGGCATTAGCTCTCCACTACTGCAGCACTGTTATTGTGATAGCCTTAAATTGGATGATCCAAGTCACCCAAGGCAGCTGATTTCAGCGGTTTGCAAGCAGAGAGCGGTGTACAAAATCATATATTGTTTTTAATCACATAGCCTACCTCACATGCCCTGGAAGAAATAATAAATACGAGTATTGATCAGTAGGAAACTAATCAGGTTTTTATACAGGCAGGCCTACAATTGCCATGTGCATTAAGGACTTCATTTGAATGCACAACGGAGACAGAGGCAATTGAGCGAGGACAAAAATCACTAATTAGGCTGCCTAAGTGAAGCATCTTCATCGACTGGAGAGCTCTCAAGCAAAGGGATGAGCCTGGATAGCTTGGCTTATATTTTGAAAATTATAAAAGTGCGTGTGGCTTAAGATTGTCCTAATGAATTCTTAAAACGAAAAGCAGGTTTTCAAGACTAGACAATCATTTCATGGGTCATCTGATCCTCGCAATCATTTGTGAAAGAAAAGGTGCCTGCACATATGGGACGCGATCGTGATTACAAAACCCGAGACAACATTTTGGCATTCGTATAAAACTTTTAGATTACAGCTACACAACTAAGTTTTTCTTTATCGTTTATCTATCTCGTCAAAAACTTTGTTATTGACAATTGACGATTTTTTTATTTGTCCAGATATAAGCTAGCCTACATATAATTCAATGTAGCCTAAATAAAAAATGAAATAGAATACAAAAATAGGGTCTGTTCTCGTATAGGGAGCAGTTAAGGGTTAACTAAAGACTGTGCGCTTTAAGCCGTGGTCTAAACCTGGAGAAAGAGGAGCTGTAAAGTTATGCAGAAGTTATTCTCCATCCTTGGTCCGTCCCTAATCCCCCAAAACCGCGTTCTTTTATGCAAGGACTGTGCCTCTTTTCTTGTTTTGCGTTGCCTACAACATAAAGTCAGACTGCATTTAATGCTTATGGCGGGATGTGAGGGGGATTTTGCAAATGCGAGGCCCCTTTCGCCGAAATATTGCTCTCTAAACGTCGTGTGAGTCTTCCAACCCAAAGCGACCCCAGATTCTCCCCCCGGTGTCTGACTCGAATGACAAACCAGCCTGATTTCACTGCATCGCTGGGAAATGTTGGGGCTGATAATAGAGATTTCGCTTTCATTTTTTACGGTTGACTTGGTTATTGTTGCTTTTCTTTTGCCCTGATTCCTTCCAGGGATTAGGCCTGACTTCCCCACTAGCAGCGGCCAAAGTGGCCCGAACTGGGGATGACAACTGACGAGGATCAAGGCTTGGGCTATTCTGCCCTCTGAGAGGCAATGTGAACTGAGAAGAGCTACAGGAGAAAAGCCCTTGGACAGGAGAAACGCGCTCTCAATGTTCAATGAACGGATCCCACTAAATAGCTTAGAGAGACTCCTGCAGCCTAATTAATTACAGCTAACTTTCTCGTTAAAACGTGAATATCAGGAAAGGACCTCCCCAATTCGCATGCTATGGTGGTCCTATAAAAAAAATATTAAGAAAAACAAATAAGACTTGGAATTGTATTCCTGAAACAGGCAGCATTTAAAAGAAAAGCACAGTTGCTTCATTTAAAGTACTGTGAACATGTTTTGATACGCTAGATCTTAGTTGGATAAAAGCTTTATAGTCTTTTATTAGTATTATTTGTAGTGATGTCATGACTGACAATCCTCTCACCATAAATAAATTGATCACAACATTTAACATAATTTCTATATGGCAACATACTTTTGAATATAGCCTATCACTGTTTTTTTTTTTTTTTTTTTTTTTTACCCCAAGTGAGACATGGGCTGGTCTTAGATGTATATGTGATTACTGCAGAACTACAAAATAATCTAAAATCTGTATAGCCTTTAAAAAAAAAAAAAAAAAAAAAAAAAAAAAAAGGTCTATGTCCCTGCTTTTATAAACAACTCATATCAGCTTGGCAGTGAAAGTGGAACATGGTTTGTCACTGGCCTCCCAGGTCAATCTCAGCCCCAACCGCTGGTAGTCCAGTTGATCCATCATTTAGATCAGTTTGGACCAGCTAATCACCATAAATGATGGTCCAGCTAGAATAAAAAAATGTAAAACCAGCTAAAAGGTTAACACATACTCACAGCCACTTTAGGTACAATGCCTTAATTCTTCGTGGCATATGTAACGGAGGCCAGCTAGTAGTCGCTGTGCGACAGATGCTAGAGGCTGCAGTCTTTAGCCTCCTTGTTAGAGCGCCTGACTCTCATGCCGGAGACCCGGGTTCGAGGGTCGAGTAGGACCCGGATGGAGAGGTTACATTGGTGCCGTGACCCGGATGGGAGTGAGGTTTAGGGGGGTGAGTGTAACGGAGGCCAGCTAGTAGTCGCTGTGCGAGTAAACCTCACTCCTCTGATCTCAATAGGCGCTCTAGCGCTAGAGGCTGCAGTCTTTAGCCTCCTTGTTAGAGTGCCTGACTCTCATGCCGGAGACCCGGGTTCGAGGCCCGCTCGGAGCGGGTCGACTAGGACCCGGATGGAGGGGTTACACATAGATACAACAAGGTTCTGGAAACATTCATCAGAGATCTTGGTCTATATTTACATGATAGCATCACGCAGGTGCTGCAGATTTGTCGGCTGCACATCCATGATGGAAATATTCCGTTTCACCACATCCCAAAGGTGCTGGATTGAGATCTGGTGACTGTTGAGGCCATTTGAGTAACGTGACCTCATTGTCATGTTCAAGTAACCAGTTTGAGATGATTTGAGCTTTGTGCCATGGTGCGTTAAGTTAACCTGCATCAGAAGATAAACTGTGGTCATTAAAGTATGGACATGGTCAATAATCAGGTAGGCTCAAATGGCACTAAGGAGCCTAAAGTGTGCCAAGAAAATATCACCCACACCCTTAATACAAGATACCAGGCAGGATGGATCCATGCTCACATGTTGTTTACGCCAAATTCTGACCCTATACTGAATATTGCAGCAGAAATTGAGACTCATCAGACCAGGCAACGTTTTTTTCAATCTTCAGACAGTAGTGTCAGTAGTGGCAACCGATGTGGTCTTCTGCTGCTGTAGCCCATCTGCTTCAAGATTTGACGGTTTGATGTCGTTCAGAGATGCTCTTCTGCAGACCTCGGCTGTAAGGAGTGGTTATTTAAGTTACTGTTGCCTTTTCAATCAGATCGAACCAGTCTGGCCATTCTCCTCTGGCCTCTGGCATCAGCAAGGGATTTTTGCCCACATATCTGCCGCTCACTTGATATTTTCTCTTTTTCGGACCATTCTCTGTAAACCCTAGAGATGGGTGTGTGTGAAAATCCAAGTAGATCAGCAGTTTCTGGAATGCTCAGGCCGCCCGTCTGGCACCAACAATCATGCCACGTTCAAAGTCGCTTAAATCACATTTCTTGAAGTTCACAGTTTGAACATCAGCAGAGCGTCTTGACCACATAAATGCATTGGGTTGCTGCCATCTGATTAGATATTTGTGGTAACTAACAAGCATTAGAGCAGGTGTACCTAATAAAGTGTCTGTGAGTGTATATGGGTTACTACAAAGCTCTGACTTTACATGACATATGCCATGTTAGCTGATAATAGCATTATGATTAATGATCATGCACGCCGTTTAAAAAACACTGAACCTGAACGATTTTGTTATATTTATTTTTGTGCAAGTTCTGTAAAGGTGATTTGTACTTTTGAGGCTTATTTTAAAGAAGAGCATTCTTATTTGTTGGTGGATTTTCTATGTTTGCTGAGATTGTTGAAACATCCATTCGGTAATGATTAGTTGACCCACATTTGCTAAACTTACTCTAAATAATATGTGTCTTCTCAAATAGCATTTGTGATTTTGTTCATTGTTTTACTATTAAAAAATTTACTAAATTGCTGTTGCAGAACTGATTGGCAGCGCTAATCAATGACGTTTTGAGTTTGTCTCCCTCAACTAGACATGTCAGAAGAAGTTCATCTTTGTTGACGGTGTTGTGCTCTACTGTCTGCCGGCTTGGCTCACAGATCCAAGTCTCCAACAAACAGGCGGGATAATTACCAAACATGT